ACTACCAGAAGCTAATGTATTTCCATCAGGAGAGAAACAAACTGATCTAACACAAGCACTATGACCATCTAATTTGGCTTGTTATTATCCTGTTTTGACATCCCATAGACGGATAGACTTATCATCACTACCAGAAGCTAATGTATTTCCATCAGGAGAGAAACAGACTGACCAAATTTAATCACTATGACCATCTAATTTGGCCTTTTACTATCCTATTTTGACATCCCAAAGACGAATTTCTTGATAACTACCAGAAGCTAATATATTTCCACCAGGAGAGAAACAGACTGACTAAACTTTATCACTATGACCATCTAATTTTGCTATTTGTTTCTTAGTTTTAATATTCCATATAAGGATTGAATTATCTCTACTACCAGAAGCTAATATATTTCCATCAGGAGAGAAACAGACTGATATAACAGAATCACTATGACCATCTAATTTGGCTTTTTATTATCCTGTTTTGACATCCCATAGACAGATAGAGTTATCTTTACTACCAGAAGCTAATGTGTTTCCATCTGGACAAAAACAAATTGATAAGACACCAGATGAATGACCATCTAATTTGGCTACTTTTTTCTTAGTTTGATTATTCCATATAAGGATAGAGTTATCTCTACTACCAGAAGCTAATATATTTCCATCAGGAGAGAAACAGACTGATATAACAGATTAACTATGACCATCTAATTTGGCTTTTTAATGTCCTGTTTTGACATCCCATAGACGGATAGAGTTATCTTTACTACCAGAAGCTAATGTATTTCCATCAGGAGAGAAACAGACTGATTAGACAGTATTACTCCGACCATCCAATTTATTCAATTCATGGACTTTAATGTTCTTCCATCTACAATTAAATAACTATGCTCCATTCAGATTAATTCCACTTATATTGACATTATTAAATTAAGATCCATTAAAATTACACCTAACAAAATTAGCTCCTACTAAAGAAGTATTTTTAATCTTTATATTTTCTAAATTTTTGTTCCTTAGGTCCACCTTAATCTAAACTAATAAATGTAATGAATTAGACCCACCTTGAATAAACTTGTCATCTATGGATGTGAGGTGAACTAATAATTACAGAAATTCAATGATCCTTATATTATCCTTGATGCTATTGATTAGACTTAATGTAGATTCACCATTTTTTTCGGAAGAAAAGTCTTTAAAATTGAAGTCATGGTCTTATATTTTTTTTAAGACATCTGTAATTAATTTCATATCTTTTCTTAAAACAGACAATTTCTATTCTTTGACAGTTTCAGTGATATTTTCTCCTTTTTGTAAGATATATGATTCTAATTATTTTTAATTCTCTATATCTGATAGAAATCCAATGCAATCTTCAACTTTTTCCTTTTGTAATTTTTCGAATATGAAACCAAACATTTGCTCATGTACATCTTTTATTTGACCAAAGATGTCAGTTAGAGCTTCC